ATTCTGTTATTAACTTATCCTTAATAGATATTTCTTCATCTTTTTGTTTATTTTCTTTTTCAAGTTGTCAAACAATTTTTTTTAAATTTATGATTTCTTTCATCATTTCATCATTCTCTTTATTAGAAAGTTCGATAGTATTTTCTAGTTTCTCTTCAAGAAATCGGATTCTTTTTTCACATATAGCAATAGCCCTTTCTAAAGTATATATTTATTGTTCTATGTTCCTATTTGATTGGGCTAAACGCAATATTTCCTCATAGAGCTCCTGATTAGTTTGTCATAATTTTTCCATGTTTTTTTTTACTAACTATAATAGATTAGAAATGAAGTTTCATTGTTTTTCAATAAGTAATGGAACAGCCTGTAATTTATATTGACCCACAGAAGACCCATGATTTAGATAAGGAGATTGCAAAACAAAAGCCTATGATTTTTATTGATCCTCAGAAAGCTCATGATTTAGACCAGCATCTTGCTTTGCAAAAACTATATTATTGTCCTGAGGGTCTTTATCAAAATACTAAGTAATTATGGGACGCTTGTAAAAAAGCTGGTTACAGCTTTCCATTTATTGATGTAAAAAAATGGCTTGATAGGCAAGCAATATACCAAATTTTTTGTCCTTCACCAAAGCATATACCTTATGCCAGTTATTCTAAAATCACGAAACCAAATACTGTGCACCAATGTGACTTAATTGAAATACCATATGATGAAGATGTGAATACAAATTTACTAGATGATGGTCCAATATATTACTATGTACTATTGGTTATAGATTGCACAACTAGATATAAAGATTTCGTTTTTTTAACATCAAAGAGCAGTGAGAAAGTTGCAGAAGCATTTAAGAGTATATATAATAATCCCGATAAGCCTCTCAACTGGCCTCAAAAAATGCAATGTGATAAGGGTACTGAGTTTATAGAATACATAACTTTTTTAATAAATGAACATGGTGTTGAAATCTGAAGAATTAAGGCATGTTTTAGACATACGAGCTTGGCTATGGTTGATCGTTATGCTGGATTATTCGAGGTAAGAGTTTTTAAAAATCAGTATTCGGTAGAGTTTCTTCTACCTGCTAGTGAACGTTGTAGGGAATGTGAACGATTTGCAAAAAGAATTGTTGATAACATGAATGATACTCCTACTCGATTAATTAGAATGAGTCCCAATGATGTCACAAAGCTTGAGTGGATATATTCCAAACCATTGGTAAAATACAATCGTCCAATAGGTGTTAATGAATCACAACTGGAGAAAGGTACTACCATCTGTTTTTTACTTGTCCCTGGAGAGTGGAAAAATAATCCTTTTGAGCGACGTAGAATAACGGACCCTATATGGTTACCTAGCCTCTATAAAATTCGAAGAATTGTTGTTGGAAAGAATCCTCTGATGCCAGTTTTATATTATTTAGATGATTCAGGATCTCAACGTTCCTTTGTTAGAGAACAATTAATGCATATTAAGGAAAAGCCTATACTACCTCCCCGGTGGGTCTTAAAAGATAATCGAATACAATCAAGGCGCTCTTAATAAAAGTTGGCAAATCAACAACACAATAAGATATTGTGATAAGAATTATACTCTTCTTGAAACAGAGTGCTCTCTTTTTCCAATCACGTTGAATTTGTGCATCTAAATCGCTTTGTTCTTGTGGATAAAAAAAAGGAACAATTTGAAAATGTTGATTGCCACTATATTCAAAAGCTAAGCGTAATTCCTTATTATATTCGTCAAGTTGTAAGCCCCTTAAAAATTTGGGTTTTCGAAGTAAAAATTTTTATGTAATAATTCTTCGAAGATATATCAACATGTCCTTTCAAATATATGAGAACAAATGTTACACCACCTATAATTTCACTTTATATCATCATAAGATGCTTTCCATTGATGATTATTTTTACAGGACCATAAATAAATATCCAGAATATATTTATTTTTAGCTAGACATTTACCTTCACGTCTTTTGGCATAAATAAAAGCATTAGTATCAATCTCATTACAATCTTGCATTTTTTCTTCGCAGTCACAAAGTGGATATAATATGATTTAAAAATAGAATAAAACATATAAAAAAGAATTGAAAAATAAATCTTTATCCCAAAAGATAATATTGAGACATACATAGGATTAGGTAAAAAAAGCAATCGGTTACAGGATGCATGGGCTAAATAACTGAGTATCTATTTGATATTTTATTAACTAGAACTTTTTATTTAGTACTTATATTAATAGATAATCAGAAAAATAATTATGAATATTAATACTATTTCTCTTGTAACACATGCTTTATTAGTATCTGAAATTTTAGAAAATATATTTAGCTATCTTTCTAAAGACAAGGATCTATTTAAGATTATTACAATAAATCATATCTGGCGCTCTGAAGGGTTTCAAGCTATCTGTAATTTATATGTGTTTTGACTTAATAATTGGGTTTCTCATTTTAATAATACTCTATCAGCATGGTATAAAGGAAAGATTTTAAAATCTTGTCTTAATGATGTTATTTCCTATGTTTACAAAGATTTTGTTTCATTATCAAGAATATATAATAAATACTTTGCTCGAGATAGAAACATAATATTTTTCTTTTCACGAGAAATGTTAGGGGATCTTATAAATAAGTATATATACTTTCAAGGAGATATTGAAAATAAAATGAACGATACATTTAATTATGATTATTATTATAATATACATATATATGATAATAAAGAAGAGGTCTCATATAGTAATAATGAAAAAGAGATTTCATACAGTAATAATGCTATCACTTTTGATAGTTAACCAATCTTTAATACATAATTTTTTTCTGAACTAGAGAGGAAAAAGGGGGGAAAAAAAAGCATGAGAGTATGGACGAGATCGCTTTCCTAAAATATAAATGAAATTTTGAGACTAAGATGAAAGTTCCTACCACTCCGCATAAAAAAGAACTGAAAAATAAATCTTTGGCACTCATTGAATATACGTAATTATTGTTTAAGATAATATTATCTAGTTTTAGTAGTAATTTCTGGAGAAGAGAGATTGTTACATTTAACTAATTATTTATCTCAGGTAGGAGGTTTTTGTTACCTTTTACAATAAATAAAAGAAAAAATTCAAATAAAAAATTAATGCTTTGATATCCTGAATATTTGATTCATGTATCTACCAAGTAATTTCGCGTAAGTACTAAAGGTATATAGATAAGGTAATTTAATCAATATTATTTTTGTATTATACAATTTTGATCGAGGTGCACTTTTCAGTAAATAGTATATATATATTTGAAAAAAATTGGTGTCTAGTCAAGATATAATTATTATAGAAAGAGTAATCGTACTTTGGACAAACACCAAATAGATATGATTTTAGTAATATAATTTGAAGAAAATCGGTGTTCGGTCAAGTTATATTATTATAGAAAGGGTAATTATACTTTGGATAGACGCAAAAATATATATGATTCAAAGAAAAATCAATATCCGGTCAAGTATAATTATTAGAGAAAGGGTAGTTAGATACAATGTATACTATTTTGATTATATAATTCGAAGAAAAATCGGTGTCTATCCAAGGTAAAATTATTACAGATATATATTATAAAAAATTATACTTTGGATGGACACAAAATAAACGATAATAATTCGGACTAAATGCCTCATCATTGGATGCTTTGAATGGACACAAAATAAATGATAACAATTTGACACTACGTGCCTCATCATTGGATGCTTTGATGTTATTACCAGATATGTTAACAATTCGGCACTACCACTAGTCGAAATGGATTTATTCAGCATAATGCCACTCGTTAATCATTTGTCAAAAAAGTATATAATTCGGCTAATCAAAATTATATAACTTTTATCTTTGGCTATAAAGCCATGTATAATTTATTCGGCACATAAATGGTACACTTTTTTTAAACCTTATTTTGAAGAAGTTAATATTTCGACAGTAAAA